TACATTAGTTGACTCTGCTGCTCTGACCCGTGCTGCTCCACCCAGAGACTACTCCACCTTTGCTGCTGTGACCTGTAGGGCTGTTGCTGATTATAACTATTATCACCTTTTTAGAATGATCAATTTTAATTTTAATTTTTGCTGCTACTGGACACCTGAATTTCTTCTATCAATAAAGTATCTATCAATCAATCTATCTATCTATCTATCTATCTATCTATCTATCTATCTATCTATCTATCTATCTATCTATCTATCTATCTATCTATCTATCTATCTATCTATCTATCTATCTATCTATCTATCTATCTATCTATCTACTTTTCTATCTATCTATCTATCTATCTATCTATCTATCTATCTATCTATCTATCTATCTTATCTATCTATCTATCTATCTATCTATCTATCTATCTATCTATCTACATTAAGTTATGAAATGAGGATATTGATCTCACCTGAATTCAGCTGAATATACGGCCTGTGTATATAAGAGTTGTGATGAAGTTGGCTGGATTACAGTCTGGACTTGTGTTTACAATCTCTGGTTTGGACTAGAATCTAATCTGTGAGCTGACTTTTTACTTTCATCAATACAGTTTTTCTCGGTCGCTTTGGTGCATTTTTCATATCATTCTTCACATTTGCACAACTGTTGGTGCATTTCTCAGAACAATTAGTGCAAACTGCAGAACCTCGTGGATAACCTGCAAAAGTGCGTCACTTTCTCAAAATGAAAAGTTATGTCCTCAAAAGCAAGTTCAAACGTCAACGAAACTGTCTGTGTCGTCAAAATAATATGTCCTAACAACATTGAGTATGAACATCACAGTCAAATGACTTAGTCATGTTTTCATTGTGACACTTCACTCTCTCTGTGTTTTCAGAGTAAAAAAGTCAGATCTCGGTGACACTTGAGCACGACTATGAGCTCACTATACACGACCTATACAGCCATTTACAGTAAAAACTACAGTAAAGTTACACAAAGACTGTATTTAGAGTAACTGACATTCTGTAACATATATGTATATGTGTATGTATGTATGTGTGTATGTGTGTATCTATGTATGTATGTACAGTATGTATATGTACTGTATGTATGTGTATGTATGTATGTATGTACTGTATGTATATGTATGTATGTATGTATGTGTACTGCATATGCTCTTTGTATTTCTGTTGCACAATGCTGTAGAATTGCAGGCACATACAGTATACTGTATATGTAGTATATACATAGAACAAACATACAAGAAATATTATTATGGTAGAACTGTGACAAAAATGAACAATAAAGCACACCTCAGAGTGAAGCTGAAATTCACCTGAGATAAATTGTTCAATTTAAGAAAGATTTACAGGAAAAAAAGATGAAGGAATGTATGAAATTAGCTTGACAGTTATGATTTTGAGAACTAGTTCAACAATTTTGTATGTGATGACCAAAGCGAGGAAATGAGGACAGTTAGTTTTATAGTGAAAGACTATTCAGAAGTCATAAGTATGTTTCATTCTGACTGACAGGACAGAAGCAAATGATGATGTTGAAAAAACGCTGAGAATTGTATGAAAGTTATTGATACATGAACAAAAGCATTTGAAATGTGTTCAGAGGAATGAGAAACTGCCGTGATGATGTGCACCAATGACCAAATGTTGTGGAGGTTGAACTAATAGTTTTGAGAACTTTAAGTCTGATGTGAAAAATGCACCAAAGCGACTGAGAAAAACTGTAATAATATCTTGGCAAATAGATAAATCAGTTGCCCCCCGTTATGTTGAACACATATGTTGACAATTACAGTAGTTCACAATGATCAATAAATGACAAATTTCTACCCAAAAAATTTCACTATTCACTTATACTATAAAACTAGAGATCCATCTAAGACCATTTCCAGCCCAACTATCCTTCTGCTGCTGTGCTCAACACTTTAGTTTGGGCTTAATCTCGAGTCATAAGAAGTCTGGAACTTCCTGGTATGTAGGTCTCTAATAACAAAGGCATTCTAATCACACACTCTTGACCTTAGTTCATTAAAAAGACACTGCTCTAAACCCACACAAGGACGTCAGGCTGCGGCCGGTGTCTGGACCTCAGGCCTGAGATGGACAGCGGCTCACAGATAAACAGACGTGGACGGTCAGAGGAAGACGCCTCTATCACTGGCCGTCCATCTCTGTCCTGTTATCTGACCGGAGCTTTCTGCAGCACTTCTACACCACCGCCAGACTGAAACTCAAGTGATCCTGGACACAACGGACAGACCTCATGGACCGTTAGACTCCGCGGACATGTGCGATGACAGTAGCCTGTGTGTCTCTGTCTGACCGGGGCGTAGAGGACAGAACGAGGAGGGGCTGGTTCTACGGCTGACTTTGACCTGTGTTTACAACTCCATGGAAAATAAAAACGGTCTCAAAAATCATCTGTTAACAAGGAGCTCCGCAGTCAGGGCAAAACATGGAGAGGCTGTATTTCAGACCCATGCTGCTAAAATCTTCCTGAAAATGTGAGACAGGCTTCTTCTCTGCCAATGTGTCCAGGGATTTTATTTTCACTCTTTTTAATGTATTCTTAATGATTTGAATGCCTTTTGTGGTTGTTTCTATCTTGTTTTTGTTCAGCACGTTGAGTATGCCCAATGTATGAACTGCGCTATACAATTAAACTTGCCTTGCCTCCATAGCAGAGTGAAGCACTACAGACAAATCTTTACGTAGGTATTTTTAGTAGTCCTCTGTCTCGTATTGATCCCAAATGTCTCTTGATATTTCAGAATCAATATGTCGGGATATTTTTTTCACTTTATAAATGATTTGGAAAAAAGAGAAGGGAGTTCTCTGTTAGCTTCGATTACTCTCACCAATACGTCTGTGAAGCTGCCCCACATCTTTTCAGTCCATTGTAGGGATGTAAAAAACTATGAATTTTCATGACCGACCACCGAGCCTCATTAACCGGTTGAAACCGGTTAACCGCGTAGTTTAAAATAGTCCACGTTCTTTGAAATAACAGCCATTTCGAGCCGCGTACTTTTCATAAGTGCAGCTCTGCGTTCTACTGGATCAGAGCTGAGACAGCGGCGCCCAAACCCGCAACAGCTCCGGCACCTTTGCGCACAGAGAACTGCTTTTTTAATCTTCCCATTCTGCTGTGCTGCGGGTTAAAACCAAAACTTTCTAGCAGCAAACGACGGCTCGTTCACATGGTCAGAGCAGCGAGTGACGAGCCGCGTCTCACAGGTCTTCACAAAAGTTTAAATACAAGTGATGTGTGTGGAGCTGATCCCGAGGACCATAAACACAAACATGTTCCATGTGGTTTGACTGGAGCCGTGTATTTGTGCGAATCCTTTGGGCTCCGTGACACAGAGGAGCGCGACAGACCGGTATGTGTGTGTGTATGTATATGTGTGTATGTGTGTGTGTATGTATGTATGTGTGTGTGTATGTATATGTGTGTGTGTGTAAATGTAAGCTCCAATGTAGTTCTGACCCGCGCCAGTGTGCAACTTTGACGGTAAAGGGCTCGACACATGAGAGGCGACATCGCATCGCCTCCATTCATTTTCAATGGTACGTGCGCGACATAGCGTCAATCGCTAGCGAGCCTCCTGCTCAGCGACGGGCGAAAAACGTGCGTGTGAAATCCTCCCGCTCGTGCATGTATCGTGCACGCGCAGGTCAGCGGCGCGATCCCAGAAAGTTGAAATTGGCTCAACTTTTCAACGCTGTCGTCAAGCCGCATTGCGCCCGTCTGTCATGTTATCTGAGCGACAGCGTTGAGTTTCGCTGATCGCTCTCATTTGTCGCCTCCCGTGTGTCAAGCCCTTAACAGAGGGGAGAGATGATGCGTGTGGATGTTACGTATGGAGAGGGGGACGTGAGAGTCGTCCCGGAGTTTATAATACATGGGCGCACACAGCTAGATACAGACCCGCTCGTCACACCGTGCAAATAGGGCTTAAAATAGCGTTATTAAGAGACCTCCCCTCTCCCCTTTTTCTCTTTTTTAACCGACAGCTTTGACCGGTTAACGCTGTGACGGTCAACCACCGGTTAAACGGTCGCCGATTTACATCCCTAGTCCATTGTATCAGTTTGAAATCATGTAATCCAACGTGCTTGTCTGATCTCATTCAGTCTCCAAAGCTAAGCAGGACTTGTGTGTGTGTGTGTGTGTGTGTGTGTGTGTGACCAGTGTGTGTTTGTTTTCAATTGTGTTTTTGCTCTTTGTCAGTTCTGTCAACAACAGAACTGACAGAACTAAGTGGATAGCACTCTCGCTTCTCAGCAAAAAGGTCCTGGGTTTGAATCCCCAGCAGAACAGGGCCTTTCTGAGTGGAGTTTCCATGTTCTCCCGGTGTCTGTGTAGGTTACCTCCAGGTGTTACGGTTTTCCCTGCAGCTAAAAACATGTACAATAGGTATGAATGTAATGAGTGAGTGAATGGATGTTGTTGGTTGGGGGGTTTGATGCGTTAGTGTGTTCGGCGACTTGCTTCCGTCATCACCGTTTGTGGAGAGAATGGAACAATATCTGAACTCTGAACTGTGTAGAGCGCTTTGGGTGATCTTGGTTTGTAAAAATGTGCTACATAAATAAACATGACTAGCTTATTTAAACAATAAGCTCAAGATTTAAATGAAAGGATTCATCTTTCAATTCAATTTACTTTTGTTTAGACCTAACACACAACAGTAGTTATCTCAAAGGTCTTGAAGGACAAAACTATCAAATTCGCCATCACAGATCTGAGAACCAAACAGTTCAAACACAAGGAATCAATGATAAAGAAAACACATGTCATTGGTCCAAGGGGCAGATGACCAATGTCCATAAATGTCAAATATTTTTAAATAAGTGAATGTAATACTGAACATTTTAGCAGATCTCTAGCTTCAGCTCTTGTCCCAAAAGCACAGGCCTCATGTTGCAGCAAAATCATCAGTCCAGACTCTCGATCATCAGTCCAGACTCTCGATCATCAGTCCATGCTCTCGATCATCAGTCCAGACTCTCGATCATCAGTCCAGACTCTCGATCATCAGTCCAGACTCTCGATCATCAGTCCAGACTCTCGATCATCAGTCCAGACTCTCGATCATCAGTCCAGACTCTCGATCATCAGTCCATGCTCTCGATCATCAGTCCAGACTCTCGATCATCAGTCCAGACTCTCGATCATCAGTCCAGGCTCTCGATCATCAGTCCAGACTCTCGATCATCAGTCCATGCTCTCGATCATCAGTCCAGACTCTCGATCATCAGTCCAGGCTCTCGATCATCAGTCCAGACTCTCGATCATCAGTCCAGACTCTCGATCATCAGTCCAGACTCTCGATCATCAGTCCATGCTCTCGATCATCACTCCAGACTCTCGATCATCAGTCCAGACTCTCGATCGTCAGTCCATGCTCTCGATCATCAGTCCAGACTCTCGATCATCAGTCCAGACTCTCGATCATCAGTCCATGCTCTCGATCATCAGTCCAGGCTCTCGATCATCAGTCCAGACTCTCGATCATCAGTCCAGACTCTCGATCATCAGTCCAGACTCTCGATCATCAGTCCAGACTCTCGATCATCAGTCCATGCTCTCGATCATCAGTCCAGGCTCTCGATCATCAGTCCAGGCTCTTGATCATCAGTCCATGCTCTCGATCATCAGTCCATACTCTCGATCATCAGTCCATGCTCTCGATCATCAGTCCATGCTCTTGATCATCAGTCCATGCTCTCGATCATCAGTCCAGGCTCTCGATCATCAGTCCAGGCTTTCGATCATCAGTCGAGGCTCTCGATCATCAGTCCAGGCTCTCGATCATCAGTCCAGGCTTTCGATCATCAGTCGAGGCTCTCGATCATCAGTCCATGCTCTTGATCATCAGTCCAGGCCCTCGTCACAGCTGGTCCCAGCGTGACTCCGGCTGTCCCCCGGCATCGCAGCTCTGGATCCTCTTTCAGCCCTAACCAGGCGGACTGCACACTGACACATGTATTTATGTAACGCTTTTGATGGCTATCGATCCACGCGGCGGCTGGCCGGGTTAAAGAAGCACAGAAAGATGAGCTTTGGACACGAGACAGGCTGACGGAGGAGATGGAGACAGCTGTGGAGTGTTTTAGAGGTGAACCGGTCAGGAGGGGAGTGAAGAGTGACTGGACTGGATGTCTTGAGCTGTATTTTCCCCCATCGTGTTTCACCTGTGGACACAATGCACAGATTTGTTGCAGCAGCATTTCTTCTTTTCAGCCGCTTGACTGAGAGATGGTTAAATATGTGCATGTATAAACAGAGACACATCTTTCATTTTCCCTGCATTATGATCTTTTTTCAACATTGTGCAGGTCTGTGGTCAAATGTGTTTAAATGGAAATTGGAGAAACAAAAGCAGATGTATTAATTGCGAGGTTAGGTCTTTCCATTAGAGCTGCTCACATTTGTAAAAGTCATGATCAGACATGATTTCCTTTTTCTTAGAGCTTTCACAGAACTGTATTTTTGGGCAGTACTGTGGAAAATCTTTTGATGATGAAATGTATGGGGTAAAATAAAGTTATTTGGAGCGCTGCAGCCTCTACTTGGGTCATGTGTACATATTGCACATACATAATGAGTGTGTGTGGGTGACCTTGGCCTGGCCCGGCAGGACGTGGGGGTCAGGAGAGTCAGTCTGTGTTCACCGGAGCGTTCTGCTGCACATTAGCACTCTTTATTACTGCCATGACCAGCAGCCTGACAAATCCTCTTATTTCATTTCACCTCTGCACTTCCACAGCCCGAGGCTTTCTTAAAGAGGTGTTTGTAGTTGTTTGGGTAATTAAACATGCACTGGAGTTGCTTTACTTTAGCATTTTATATTGAGACATCGAGAATGTACGTGTAGAAAACTTATGTGTAAAATCTGCTGCCTTAAAAACCATCAGGCTCCATTGCCATGTTCTTGTTTCATGAAGAACGCAGTTAAAATGAATGCAATCTGACAGATATACTGTGTTTATAGAGGCAGGTTTGTCCATGCAGTGACTGATTGGAGAAATTCAGCACAGAGCGTTGTTAAAGGGGACACTGAGAACAATGCTTTAACATAATTAATGTCACTCTTCTTGGGTGAATCTGCAGAATGTGAGCTGGTCAGTGGATTCAATGATCATTTAATTCAATCTATATTTTTCTCTTGATAATATTGCTATTGCTATGTATAATTATCTTCTCTATGTTCTTTCATGATACTGCTGTAGTGAGTTGGATATTCCTTTTCTAAGTCTGATTATTCCAGATGGGGACTCTAAATATGTTACTCCTGCTTTGTGACGGTTTGACTGGTTTGTCAATAATCCACTTTCACACATACAGTTCCTTTGAAGTCCCCTCTTGTCCCGTACAGTTCAGGCCTTCTCGTCCCCCTCCTCCCTCCACACAGTGATGAATCTGCAGACAGGGGCTAATAATTGTACTTCAGCCCAAGTGCTCATTTTTCTTTGTGTTTGAAAGCTATGACAGGCAGGCGCTCCTCACCCCTCCCCTCTCCCATCCTCTCCCCTCTCCCATCCTCTCGCTGACACAATAGGAGGCTGAAATAACTGCGAGCTTTACAAGGTCACAACGTCTGGCGGCGAGGACCGAGGCTTCCTCTGAGGTGTCGTACGAGAGCGTCAATAAAATGCATAAAGTTATGGACGGCGCGGGGCCCGGCTCTGCAGGGACAAACAAGCGCTCGGTCGGGACGGAGAGCACAGATGAGGCTGGTGTTGTCAGAGATGTGGAGGGTTTTTGCGGTGGGAAACTTCAGTACCACAGGCTGACTTATCTTTTCTGGTGCACTGTTGGCTATGGGCTCTGAAAGTTGTCCAATGTGTTTATGACGGCATTTTTGGGATGGTTGAGAAGTGAGGAAGGATTCTGGACAACAGTTAGGAATTGTCAATAAATAAATGTATGGATTGTTTTGGTTTGTTTGTTATGGAATACAGCCATACCGACTTGTCCACGTCCAATCCTCAATCTCTGACAGCACAACCAGAGCAGGGCCTGGTTCGTAGTGGGATGGGAGAAAATCTAAGGTGTTACAGTGCGATGGTTGGTCTCACCCAAAACTCTGGCTGTTTCCTTGTGCAACTGTAGTCCGTGTACACTTCTGTATTCACATCTGTGCTATAACGTCTACATTATTCTGGGCGGCACGGTGGCTGAGTGGATAGCACTCTCGCCTCTCAGCAAGAAGGTCCTGGGTTCGAATCCCGGTCGGACCAGGGCCTTTCTGAGTGGAGTTTGCATGTTCTCCCCGTGTCTGCGTAGGTTTCCTCCGGGTACTCCGGTTTCCCCTACCACTAAAAATATGTCCAATAGTTCTAGCATGCGCCTCCTGTACTGGCGACCCCGCTCCCATCTCTGTGTGGAGTGAGAGACAAATGCCCAAAAATTAACAATTGTAAACCGCTTTGAGACTCAGATCTGCAGTGAAAAGGCGGTATATAAATAAATACTTACTTACTTACTTACTTACTTACATATCCTGGCTTAATGAGATCCTTTGCCGTTTTTGGTGGTTGGGCAATCCCACTTATTGTCAATGATGGTTACAATAGATTCAAACTGGTTTGTCTGAATATGTGAGCCCAAAATCACCAGGCCGTGATCATGTGGGTGATTTTACTATGGAGTAAAAGCAGTTGTTTTCTTATCATTCAGTCGTCATGAGATCTTCAATAGTGCCGCACAACTGTATGAGCATTTATGTATGAAGTTTAATTTTAATTGAACAGGCCATTACGTATTATCCTTTGGTCATATACAGCATACTAAAAGCTGTTTACGCTTTTTCCATCTGGTATTCTGGGACCCACAATGTATTTGCCACATCTATGATATCAGTAAAGGGACATATTTCACATCATTTTTAATCGTGTGTTTTTTCCTCTCATCATTATTTGTGTTGAGTCATTCATGGCTCAGCCAAAGACACAATTCCTGTCCTTCTTTTAGATTAAAATACTACCTTCAAAAACTCTTTACACAAGAGTATTCTAGAAATAACAGCAGCTCTATGTTTTAAGGCTTTAAAAACCCCTCCCACACACTTTATACACTTTTCTAACCTCCTGAACGCACAACTGCTGAAGTGTGATCTCAGAGATATCAAACCTGTTGGTTGTAGGTCTGAGTGCTGCTGCAGCTGTCAAAAGCTGTGCATATAGTATAACATACAGCTGCAGAACTGAGGCCTATCTGGTCATCTGAACTAATCCCCACAGTGCACACAAGGCACAAACGTTTTCTCCTTTATATAACGGTAGCTGTCATGTTATACCAGCGCTTACATGATGGTATATATGGAGTTATTGGAGTAAGGCGGAAGGTGAACCGTGACAGCGAAGGACCAGTGTCTCTAAATGATCCAAACATGCATGCCGATGGAAACAAAATGAAAACACCATATTTCCATCCCAGTCGGAGAACAAATTACATTTCAAAATAATTGGAATCCACCCTTAATTGAGACATGCCATCTTGTACAATATTAAAACGGCATAATTAAGTCCAATAGAGTCTAGGGGAAATATTCCATCATTTCCAATTGTACAACTCGCGGCGTATTAACTTAATGCCCCGTGCACAACAGCAAGCCCAAGCACAAGCGCACATATTGAGACAAAATAGCATTTCCATTGACTGCCAGTGCTTTATGAAAATTGATCAGCAGTTTTTTTAATCACAGAGTCATCCTCAGGGGGGGGGGGCTTCTCAGGGGGGAGATACCTGCGCCCCCTTTGCAGCAGTTAAGGCGGTAAATTTCCTCCCGGCAGATTGTTATTGAGTATATAGTCTGCGGAGGGAGCTTAAACATTGATCGCGAGCATTAAATATATCCGGGCGAAATGGCAACATGGCACTCCTTTTCCGTCAATGGTGCGCGGAACAAAGCCACAATCAAATCAATTTAGTCATAATTATTCTGGCGAGAAGGCGAGATTCATCACAACGGAAAACAATAATGCAAAACGAAACGGACAAATAAAATCAGCGGAGGGAGAAATGACTTGTAAACGCCGCTAATTGAAATATCGGCCGCATGGTTTTTTTTCTGTACTCAGACAAGTTTGAGGAGTGGAGATGATAGGAATGGGCTCTCCAAGGCTTCCAGGATGAGACCAAAGCTTTGCGGTGGGGGTGTAGGGATGGGACAGGGAGGGGGAGTTAGGGGGTCGGGAGATCAAGGTCCCGCTGGTGCTGGGAGGAAGTGTAGCTCATCGATTAGCTATCAGATGATTCCGATAAAGGCTGATCAATGGGACTTTGTTTGCGAGCCAGACTGGGACCCCTCCCCGGCCAACGTAACGACACGCCCACTGCAGCAGCACAGCGGGTGGGGGTAGGGTCCAGGACTGAAGGGAAGAGACATGGTCAGACGCCACAGAGTCAGGCGCAGGGACAGGATATGAGGTTTGGTGGGTAGATCTATCTGAAGGTAATGTATGTTTTAAAGAACGCATGTATCGAGAGCCACACGCTAAGAAACACATGAATAGTCAATCCAGTGTCTGTTCCAAGTTGTGACTTCATAAGGCTTCATAGGCTATCATAACAATGTACATATTGTATGTCCTGATAGGAAGACTCTTATAATGAGACCATTACATGCTGTCTATATTGTTTGCATAATTGTAAGAAATAGATTATGTAAAAGTTGATCTGATTAAGAAAATACATGATTAAGAGATCCTTTACTCGTCCCACAGTGGAGAAAATCCATGCACGTGAAAACTAGTAATAGAACCAGACTAAAGCAGTTTGGTTACAACAGTTAGGTGGATTTTATTATACATTTTTTGTAGTTGTTTTTAGTTCGATTTTTATTCGAGTATTATTCGAGTTCGAGTATTTTTACGCACTATGTGTATGTGATGAAGTAGGAATGCTGAAAGGTTGTTCTTGTTTAAAAATACATAATCTCCTGCTGGTCTACTCTTTGGTCAGAGTCAGAGATCACACTTTTAAAGTAACCCTGGCAACAATCATCTCACTTTGTTGTCTGTGGGACGGATTCGGTTGAAATGTATTGTCGTCGCTGGGACGTAGGAAGACCACACTAAGATGATCTGTGGTGTTGGTGGGGTATGAGCTCTCCGAGTGCACGTTATAACAATAATGGAGTTTGGTGGTACTGGGTATTGTTCATGGTGAATATTGTTGTATCTATAATGTCATATAACGTTGTCTGTGATGGCTGATGTGTGTGATGTGGGGCCATTTCCTAACTCCAATGATTGCTGTGTGATCCATGAAAAACTGACTTTATAACGTAGAAAAATATGTATAAAATAAATCTTGATATGTATATTCTTTTTGGTTAATCACTGAACATTTGGCCGTGCAGACTTTTTGGGCCCTTACCCCAGAGAGAATTCCTAGCTGGGATTTAGGAGCAAATGAAGCGATTCCGATCCGTGGTAGAAGAGCTCAGAGAGAAGTGTGTTTGCTGCACTTTCCCGTAGGCTCTCACACTCCCACAGCTGTGGACTCTCACTATAAATAACAACCGCTCTCATCCAGTCTGCTCCGGGACGGTCCGGTGTGGAGAGGACCAAAGCAGAGATTACAGTCGGACACAGGCGCTGAGAGGGACTGATCAGTGTTGTTGTTGCTGCTGTTTGACCCATTCAAGCAACTTCAGGTTGTTATTTCCTCAGACTGTTTACACTGGATGTTTGATAAGGAGTTCCTTTTCTCAGTTTGAAATGTCAGACACATTTTCTCATAGCTACAATCTTCTACAAATATTGATTGTTGAGTCGATTTTATTTGATTATTTGGTTGTATAATTGTATGATAGATATATAAATATAATGTGACCAGTGTACAGCAGAACTAATCCCTGAACAGCTAAAAGTGTGCGTCTATGTGCAGCCTGTACATACGAGAAATACAGATAACCGGGATTATGGGAGCCTCTGGAAGTTTCCATGTCCTCCCCCAAGTCTCCTCCTGAACACCATTTAAAACTGACTAAAGTAAAGCTGGGGTACCTTACATTTCACTCCCTTTAAAAATGCATGTTGGTTGTGGCCAAAAGTAAAATATTGTAAACAAATCAGACCACAAAAGTGAAAAATGAAAAATTAAAGATTGGGTCACTATTTGATTCTTGAGCTTCTTCTTTGAGCTTATTTGCTGATATGATCTTTTGAAGTGACAGAGGACGCAAAATATGTTCTTCTTCCTAAAGGGGGCCGACAATCTAATACTAATGGAAAAGCACTGAATCAAACACAGCTCTACAATGTTGTGAAAACAGCAGTAAAATGTGTTTTAGAAATGAAATGACAATAAGTATGGTTATTTGTTATTCAGGCTAATGTCTAATTGCTTCAGCACCACGGACAGAGCTCCTCTTTAGCTTCCTTCCAGTGTTGTCTTGTCCCATGCCGGATCTCGCGTGGACTCCCTGCCCTCTGCATACATACGCAGTGTGAGAAGGCAAAGTGATAAGGCACCTGGAGGCTGATTAGGAGCCTGTATCAGAGACAAACCATGGCCCCATTCCCACTCGGTGTGAGCGTGAGTGGGAAAGCACGGGGCACCTCTGTTGTACATGTGGAAATACCTGGAACTCTCTGTCCTTGATATTCTAGGTTTTTTTTACTGCGCCTTCAGTGTTTGTGACAGCCTGTGGTGGGATGCAGGGGTGACCTGTCGAGCTCCAGTGGTTTTAGGTCTGTGTTGCCGAGCGCAGTGAGATGATCATTAGTTTTTATTGTGTTAACTTGTCCAGAAGTGGAGGGAATGGGCTCAGTGATTAGAAATGCTGACAAGTCTTCTGCTTTGAGTTTCCCGGTTGAGGCTATTGTTATTACTTGCATTTTACTCGCATCAAAAATAATTATCTCAAATAATCTGCAGGTATTTCTTGCACTAGAGTATACAGTACTTTACACTTTGCTTCTTTATTGAGCCAAAGAGGGATGTTTTAATTCCATTTTAAAGTATAGAATTGGGCTGCACTTAATAATCACTTGTGTTGTGTGCTACTCATTCCTACTGTTCTGTAACTTAACACTGAAATGTCCCCAAAGTGGGATGAATAAAGGCGCTCTTAATCTAAATCTTAATCTTTAATCTAGACATCAAGAAAAGTGTGACCTTGGTCTGTGAAATGTGCTTTATAGATACAAATTACTTAAAGGTATGTAGGAGGATTTTCTACTTCCGGGTGGATCATCAAGACTATTGGTCCTCCCAGTTGTCAATCAATCTGGTGATATGTGCTTGTCAAATAAGACCAGAGAGAGTTTTGTTCAAAAAGTGGAGACAGTGGTTCTTTCCTCAAATTTGGGAACTAGTGGCAGAAATTGTGAATTACATATTTTTAAAAATCCAACATGACATTGTGTAAAAAAAAAAATCCAATTTGACTTTTGTTCTAGAAGGCTGTGTATGTGATATGCGCTGATGATACAAACAAAAAGGCACACTGGTGTTTGTACAAAAGGCTTTTTTATTGACCAGACCATGTGTTGTGTGTCCACAGATATCAGCAGACGCGGCCCCCGGACTGCCACAAAGCACAATCCCACTGCAAACGTCAGGGAGATCCAACCTCCACTCTTCATTTCACTCACCACGGACTGACCGCCGGTCCTTCCACCGAGCGGACACTCTTACCTCCTTCTTCAACGTGTAAATGACCCATCCGGACATGACACAAGCGAGCCCCTGACCGCCCTGTGTCGGGGCTGTAGATATTGTACAGAGAAGAACCTCGCGGAGAGTTGATAGTTCGCATATTGCAGAATTATGTACATAGACAAGAATCATACCTTTAGTGTTTATATATCCACCATTAATAACCTTTATTTACTATGTGCGGGAAATCAGTTTAAAATATGGCCCAAGCAGTGTTAGGCAAAGTAGGCTAAGCTAAGGGAAGAGTGAGCGAAATCAGATGCTTATGTTAGCTAGACAAATCATTCATTTAAAGCAACACTATGTAACTCAATCATTTTATAAGTTCCAGATATATATATGCAATTGAAGCATTCTTCTCTATGTAACGATAAGTAAGTAGTGTAATTAGATACGGCTGGATGCTATGCTAATGTCATGTTGGCAATAGGAACATTTAGCTTTAGGTAAGATAGAAGTAGTGGAATGAACATTGTAGGCATCCGTTTCAGAATATTCTACCTCAGCATATTTTAAATTTACTATTCAATTATCTGTGCTAATGTCCATGCTTCAAGTTACTGAAGGGTTGGTTGAGACGTTGGTGGTAGTACTTCATTGTCATCTTATACTTGTGGGCACATCTGGGCCCTTTATTTACAGTGCATTCAGAAAGTATTCCAGACCCTTCCCTTTTTCTACTTTTTGCTACAGCCTTAGACCAATAAAGCATTTCTCTACTCGCTCTTCAGACTTATTCCAACCAAGAAGCACAGATGTGGTTAATTCTACTGATTTAACTTGATTTGGAAAGGGACATACTTTTCTGTTTCATACACCACTGACAGAGATTGTTAGAGCTAAACCAGTCAGTGGAAACTCAACATATGAAAGGAAAAATACATTCTGGAATAAGGCTGTAGCATTACAACATATAGAAAAAGTGAAAGGGGTTGAATGCACTGGTTTTAGTACATTTTAGACTAAGAAGGACCAACATAGTCCTCTCTGTTAAAGGAGATCATGTGACCATGTGTGTGTGCCACCAAAGTTAAGTAGTGTTGCTTTAAATACACAACTGGAATAAAAAGACTGAAAAGTCGTCAGAGTTAGTCCCCAGAGCCCTCCCCTTCCATTGTAAACAAAAGCACCTCCTGGTATCACAGTGCGTCTCCCATCCCCAGAAACACGGTCCCGTTAGTCTTTAGTTCATAGAGCCTGGACCCCTCCGGACCGCTCCGACGCCAGCCGCTCGCTCAGCTCCCACAGGCTCACCGCGCTCCCCTCGTCCTGGGCCTGCAGAGAGGGCAGGCAGCGGAAGCAGTTGTTGAAGTACATACCGCCCAGGCCCTCCAGCTCCGGGGCCACCGCGCAGTACACCGTGGTCGCCGCTCCTTGTTGCTGCGGAGACAAACAAAAAGATAAGACTATTAGAGACGAGTGCAAAGGGTGTTAAAGGAGGCAAAACGTTAGGACAGACACCAGGCAGCACAAACATGAGCGACCGGATCCATGGACCTGAGCTAGCACATTCAGAGCTACTCGGACGACATGAGCCACAAAACGCCAGCGACGTCAGAGGCGCGGAACAAGGGACTGCATCGAACCAACAGTACGAACACATGGAACCAGGGACCAAGGAGACGAGGGACTTCAGTGACACACGGACTGTACACTTCTGTCCTCAACCATGCTAAGGACCAGAGCTGTGCCCATCTCATCTGCAGCTCACCACTGTACATATATATTTATAGAACAGTATATTTATTTATTTGTCTGTCAGCCGGACTACAGTATGGGACCACACCAGCACGGCCCCAGCTTCTCAATGTGTCAATAACTAGCCTGTATATTTTGTGATTATGAGTTGTCCAAGTGTGTATGTGCACAGCTTACTGTATGTAAAAAGTAAGAAACACATTTACATCCACAGCATGGAGTCAATAGATCATATAATTCGCATCTTTATTATTCATTATTTCAGCAATTTAATAAACAAAAGGTTACTAAAGCCTGGCGACTAATTTCTCATAACAAATGTTTCTTCATGTTCACAACATTCAAGAGCTGCTAAAATAATACAAAAGGCATAAATACTTAAATATGAAGCAGCACGGCCCTTCTAAACCCACTCCTTACTGCTTCATGGGCAACATTCTAGCTAACATGTTAACCGCTATCTTGCGATGTAAAAAAAATGTGTTTCTAACTTGTAAAGCTAAATCCATGTAATTAACACAATAAATCCAGCCGCACTCTTTCACAAGGCATTCCATATTTGACTATAGCCGTTATAATTCTCCTCTGCGTTCTGTCATCTCATTTGGACACAACCTGCTCCAGCGTACGCGCCCGTCCTGTCACTTTGTAATTAGCCTGGATGTTCTCCCCAAAAGGGGGAGGTGACGTGCCTGAGAGCCAGTTTAAAGAGCAGCAAAATAAACATGTCACATAGAATTACACACATAAGCAGCTCGCGCAGACGGGGGCTTTTCAGAGCGACTGGGGAAAGGCTTCAAGAGACCAATGATTTAGGAAACATTTCAGCAATCAATTCAAAGTATTAGCAGATAAACCATTCACCGTCAGAACTCTGCGGTAGGCAAGTTTAACACCTCATAGAAAAAACCAACTAGTTACTTTTCAGTCAAACACACGATATTGGCGAAATAAATGCAAGCTACCCATTTCACTAATTGCGACTATTCAAACTGTGTCAGATCATTGGATTGTGGAGAACTGAAGGCAGCGTTAGAAACATTGATACAAGCGGCTGCTGGCGAAGCCGTGTGAACCGATTCCTGCAGCAGATGTGAAACAAACGGGGAAACCGGCACAAGGAATGCAAATCTTTGCGTTTGCACAAATATTTACGAGTTAAGTCGTGCCAGTAGGAGTCCGGTTAGTGCGCGGCGGCGGCGGCAGATTGAGCGTCTTTGAAGCGACGCGGTGATGAGAGGGAGGAGAGTTAACAGGCACATGAAACGCCCCTGTCTTCACCTGCCCCAGCGCCGATAACTGCGTGTCAAAGTCTATCAAAGAGGGACAAATGCCATGGCAGTGTCCCGCGCCGGGGCTTCAGAGGCAGGGAGGCGCCAGTCATCTCGCCGCCGCACAGGCCATCTTGATTGGGCTCAAATGTGCCGGGCCTTCTGAAGATTTGGGAGTCCGTGAACTCGGCTGACTTTCACAGGGGCTTGTTAGTGGCACGCTTCAAATGAGCGCTTTCAAGCTGTAATCCAGACCCAGACATCACTTTCTGTCCAACGTATTTATATAAATGTAGCTGCACTGGACTTAAATCAAATTAGAATGCATACGGCAGGTTGAGCTCCGCAGGTAAGGTTACATTTTTAACAGCAAAACAAGAGCGTGAAATGTTGACCTCACACCGGGAACTCTCTAAACAATTGATCAGAACAAAGCTCAGGAGGAGAATATCTTCCGAGAATGGCCTTATTACACATATGTTTGATTCAAAATACTTTGTAAAGCCATAAACGATTACTAAATTTCTATTTCTTACTGAACTATTTCAATAATAAGTGATGTTATCCTTGGACCTGGTTTTACTTCCTAATATGTCATAGTTTTTAACTACAGCTACTACCATCCTTCCTTTCAAAGCATTAAAAACCCTGTGTTATGTCGTGCCCACGGTTTAGGATGTAAATTAGGCGTATTATCTATTTATACAGTATTTACAACACATAACTAACCACAAAACATCTCTAGAAAACGGCAAACAACCCCTCTCCCAGGGTAATATCACTGGCTCATCACTTTGCATGGGAAACGGAAAAGAAGTCCTGAGAAAACAGAGGAGAAATTCCAAGCAATATTCCCTAACAGAGCTTAAAAAAAAGTTATTATTTTGTTATTTTGCACTTACAGAAACACGCCACATCCATACGAGCATGAGCATGTGTTCGGACAAACCACACTGACGACAATCTGTGACCAAAATGTACATAGACACTTCCAAATGTGCACCGTCTGTAATATATTGAATTTTGTTTGTGCGTCTTATGCAATTTATTGACTCATTGCATTGTTGTACGTCTATGCTAACGGTGTGCGGTGTGTGGGACAGAGGTGTGTGTGCGCAATGAGCCATAACTACGAGAAGCAGAAATCAAACTTCTATATCAACATTAGTCTTGTGTATTGACTGTGCAATGTGTGCAATATGGCAAACCAGTTTTCATCGGTCAAATGTGGCCTCGCACCTTTGTCCCAATCCCAATCCTTTTGCAATAAGAAAAACCCCAGTCTTCCTCTCCAGAGACCCGAGAACCTCATGGACCCGTGACGCCGTTGTCCTTGTACAGAACGGTGCAATAATCTCTTGTTTAAAAAGCGTATCAAAAGCAAAAAGGATGAAAGGTGTGACGTTGTGTTCTTTTCGCTGTTCTGTCTCCTCATCGGCTTTAGGTTTTCTGCCCCTGTGCATGTGACCCCCGACATGTGTGACATTCACCTGTGATCCGGAAGTGTAAATAAGCCCAGTGTAGAGCTGCTGTTTTTGGCCCATCCCTGTACATACGCGCTGTAAATATCAAAACACCTATGCATGCAAAAAAACAAAAATAGCAATTCTTTCAGGTACTTTTATAACCCCAAGTTCTCATATGGCATGCACTTAAAGAAATAATCCTATAAAAAGTAGAAAAAAAGGAAAAGTAAAAACGAGTGGATCATGTGGTCAGGCCCCTCTCTTGGACAGTGTTGTGGAGTGTCCTGTTGTCCCTCCTGTGGGTGGTTCGTGTGTCCCGTGTCTCTGCGCACCATCGTGTCAGTGTGCCAGTCTGTGCAGTGCAGCTCCAGTCGGGGCTGAGGCATCCTGACCCACAGACCTGCTCGTGCTGGTCCGCCAAGGCTTTCAAAGTGCTCTTTATTTTAGATTATGTTAATCTAACAAGACTAATACTTTAGCTCAATCAGAACTTATCCTCCATTTCATTTGGTTTTCTCTCATCCTCACAGTAAGCAAACATTCTCGTAGTGTGACAGTGTAAAGGCCAGAGCCAGCGGAGCAGGAGGTGCACTTTGCCTCAGCCCTGTGTCCAGTTGTGGATCCTCAGTGGGACTCCAAAGGGTTTGTAATTCTGTTTCAGGAATGTTTTTATTTCCACCTGTGATGTTTCAAATAGATGGAGGTGTCTGATTTTTAATCTGTGATGAAGATATTTTACATTTAATAAATAAGCAGTGAAACACATGCCTGGTGTCTTAGTGTGCGAGTCTCTGGAGCTGACGGCTCAGCTGAGCGTGCCCAGTGCAGCTGGACAGGGAATCCTGGGTAACTGCGTCCCCAGATAAACAAGCTGTCCTTCTATTCAGCCGGAGCAGTGGAGCACGAGCTCCGGAGATTAGCTCCTCAAACACTCAGTACACAGCTCACAGAGCAGTGACACCCACATCATGGTTCAAGTCACCTGTGTCACCCTGACCAGCAGCCTCAGGTCACCACACACATACATACTCTACAAACATACACACACATACATACTCTACAAACAAACATACACATACATACATACTCTACAAACATACACACACATACATACATACTCTACAAACATACACACACATACATACATACTCTACAAACAAACATACACACACATACTCTACAAACATACACACACATACATACTCTACAAACATACACACACATACATACATACTCTACAAACAAACATACACATACATACATACTCTACAAACATACACACACATACATACTCTACAAACAAACATACACATACATACATACTCTACAAACATACACACACATACATACATACTCTACAAACATACATACACATACATACATACTCTACAAACAAACATACACACACATACATACATACTCTACAAACATACACACACATACATACTCTACAAACATACACATACATACATACTCTACAAACATACACACACATACATACTCTACAAACATACACATACATACATACTCTACAAACATACACACACATACATACATACTCTACAAACATACACACACATACATACATACTCTACAAACAAACATACACACACATACATACATACTCTACAAACATGCATACACACATACATACTCTACAAACATAGTATACATACACACATACATACATACATACACACATACATACTCTACAAATATACATACATATATACACACACACACACACACACATACATACAAATACACACACACATACATACTCTACAAACATATATACACACACACACACACACACATACATACAAATACACACACACATATATACTCTACAAACATACTCTACATACGTACAAACAAACTCTACAAACCTACATACATACTCTACAACACTCTGTGTGTACATGCTTATTTGTACACAAGTATACATTGATATATGACAAATACCTGAGAGGTAACACAACACACACTGACAAACTGGTTCAAACAAAACACACCACAAAAAATAACACAACAATGAAGTCACTCCACACTTGGTGGTGACAGAAGCGAGGCTCCAGCCCGAGCCAGATACTCTCTACATCATCCACATCCACACTGCTGCATGTTTGAGGACACCCAGACACAGGAAAGGCCATCGAGCTGCATTCCACACAACAAGGTTTATGATCTGAAACTGGTTCATTCTTGGGTCAGTATTAGTTTGGAAAAGCAGTGTTGACCCATATTTTAGTTTTAGAATGAGAGAGGAGCTGGACTTCATCAGGGGCGCACTTTAATCAGATATCACTGAACCAGTTTCAATTAACAAAACATGAGAAACATAGTCTATAGTTTATTACCTAAAACAACTGATTATATATATTCAGATGATATAAAAGAGTGCTCCTTGCTGTAGAGCATGTGTTGAACATCCAGGTTATCACTCAGGTCCAGTGCAGCCTTTTCCTGATGGCGGATCCTGACCCAGAGGCGGCCGTTCCCAGGAGGAGCTCACACTTCTGTCCATTACATCATCAGTGTCATTTCAAATCCAGCTCTGTCTCCGGCTCAGAGCCATCACTCAGCACATATGGAGGTATCCCCAGATGCAGCGTGGCCTCATGGGAAATGCTCATAATAAAGATCGTCAAGGTAAGGCAATTCAGACAATGTTTATTTCTGTTAAGGCGGCACAACAGATCGCACATTCAGCTACATCTGTCACAGCCAGATTTATTAGATGCTTTTCAAATACTCTATTTATAATTTGTTTGCTTTGTATACATTTAGTTGTAGAATATTTCTTAGAACCTATAGTAAAAGTTTGCTTACCTTATTCAAGCAAACAGTCTCTACTAAAGAATATACAAACAATATTTGGTCGTAGTTTTGAAGACAGAAGGTGATTTTAATGTGACACTGAAAAGAGACTGTATTATTATTATTATAGTTTTTATTATTATTATTTTATTATTAATATCATGTTTTCTTTCACAGCTATTATTATGTCTTCATGTCTTACTCTTTCACCCCATTCTTTGTTATTCTATTATGTGTGTGTATACATATTCCCTGTGTCTACATAGGTTTTCTCCAGGTACTCCAGTTTCCCCAACCTCCAAGACGCAAGTTGGTTGTACTTCATTGTAATGACACAGCTCTGTGGCTCTTCTCAGATCAGACCCACCTCAGACATGTGCACACCTTATTTGTTTCACTTTCCTACAAGCAATAAACCGTCATAAGAATACACAATTACTCACCATGCACACAAGCTGGGATGTCAACTTTTCAAACAAAAGGAGGTAGAAATGTAAAGCCATGTAAACCTGTCACATCAGTGGTATTCACAAGCCTGATGTCTGTCCACGAGCACAACCACACTAAAGGGAATCAAGGCAGATCACCCCTGCAGCGGCCAATCAGCTCTCAGCCCAAATATGGCTCTTCCTCACAACAAGGCACCACGGTATTTTAAAATATAAAATATGTTTGGACAAAGACTGAGTTTTCTGAAGCACTGACTGTGACCTGACTCAATTGTCTACAGTGCACTTTCTGACGCGGAATTATAAGAAAAATAAAAGTAATTTAAAGAACGTTTTAAAACATCAACCCCTCATAATGTACACAAACTAAAATCCAGAAAGTGGGCCGTCACTTTGGAGCTCCATTACTTTACACTTGACCCATCTGATGTAATGTTTGCTGATACTGTAAGAGGAGCAGTGTCAGACAGTTTCTTGATGCATTCTACTGCGCTACACTCACTACACAAGTCAACACAAACAACAAACCACACAACTACTGCAACATCCAACACCCCACAGGTTTTGTCTACAACCCGCAGTCCTAATTTCTCCCCGCACACACAAAGAAAAGCATGTAGGAGTGACAAGTCGACAGCACAAAGGCGTGTACAAATCCCCTCTGCATTTTTTTTCTCTTTCAAATTTTCCCCCTATTGTGCCGATAAGATCACCCACGTGTCAGCCGTCAACAGCCTATAGCCATTGTTCAAGGTGTTAGCGCGCACTCCTCGCTGCATGTTCGCCGAAACAATGGAAAGTATAAGGAACGATAGCGAAAAGGACAGTGGGAGGAAGAGGGGGGGAGGGCCGGGGAGATGAAGAGCCCGGACGCAAGCCATCCAAGGGGAAAACGCCGAGGACTCGGAAGGACTTGCCCAGCCACTGTGAAACTATCTCATTTTCGATCTTGCGAGAGGACTTCCGAAGTGATCCGCGTGAGCTAATTATTTTCGGCTAATAAAAGCAACATATGCTAAGACAATAAAAGGCCTTATTGGACACCTATTCATTAAAAGGGGGGGTTGTAAAAGGAGCAGGACAGTGGCGCCGGGATTAGCTTTTAAAAGGGCTTTTTCTCTGCCTTTAGCGTACGGTTCGTAGTAAAAGATGTGAATTATACATGAAGGGGTCGGCAGCTTTATTGGGCGTCATCTGCATTTCTCCTGTTTTACCTGAGCGCCGGACGGTAGGATCGCAGTTTGGACGGTCGACATAGAGAGGAAATGGTGAAAAAAAAGGTAGTTCTGAATGTCAGCGCTGCAGACCGTGCACGGGTCCAATGGAGTAAGTGACACGTTCTCCAAAATGTCAGCTTCTGAAACGTGGATAAAGCTGTCGTCAGTGGAACTTTTCTTCAAGAGACTCAGAGAGAGAGACTCAGAGATTCAGCCTCGGTTTGGTTTAATGACGGTGTCTGGAGCCTACAGCAAATCACAAGACACCAGTTCTATAAATAACAGCCAATATTGAACATTATAGGTATTTTTACTCATCGGGAACTGTTTGCATTTTGTTCAAAGAATCTAACACAAGAAGAATCAATCCATTTTTATGTGTAGAGCGCTTTTACACTTTCCAACAGAAGCAACTCTAGTAAAATAAGCCAGAGAAAGGTGAATTATCTGCGACTGGGATCAGCTGCTAGTTTGTTGTGCTGTAAGTAAGTAAGTTTTTATTTATATACCGCCTTTTCACTGCAGATCTGAGTCTCAAAGCGGTTTACAATTGTTAATTTTTGGGCAATTGTCTCTCACTCCACACAGAGATGGGAGCGGGGTCGCCAGTACAGGATATATTTTTAGTGGTAGGGGAAACCGGAGTACCCGGAGGAAACCGGAGTACCCGGAGGAAACCTACGCAGACACGGGGCAAACTCCACTCAGAATGACCCTGGTCCGACCGGAATTCGAACCCAGGACCTTCTTGCTGAGAGGCGAGAGTGCTATCCACTCAGCCACCGTGCTGTGGCATAGTCTAACAAGAGGTGCCACAGTTTTCAATGCAATTTAAGCTCCAACTTTAGATTTAAAATGTCCAAAACATGATCCTTGAATTTCATGGATGACCATATACAGTAGTAGTTCAGAAGAGCCTTTGAATCCAAATATTACAGCAAAAATACTCATTACTTTTTTATGTCCTGACTATAATGATACTTTCTTTCCACAATGAGATAAACCCATTTCTCAATCAAGCTTTGCACAATGTCAAATCATGACTAACATCTCTAATTGTGTTCAATACGTTCTGATTTTTTCCCAACAACGCCCCAAACGTCCTGTACATGCACTCAGCGATCAATAAATCCAACTCTCAAAATCCCAGTTTAAGGAACGACTCAAATGCAAAGTTACACATCGCTAACGACAACCATTCAGGCGCGGTAAGATAAGGCGATAATTCACAAAAGTTGGTTAAGTTGGCAACAGCGGGCGCGGATGGCGGTGACTAGCGGCTGACAGGTTGACACGCTCCAGTCATTATTCCATATGGTCAACTGCCGTACTATAAGTGTCACTGTTTCTATTATGAGCCGAGTCGTGCTGTCCGTGTGATGAGCTGGTGTAATAGGGCCACCTCCTCAGTGATGCTCCAGCTAATTGGTCTCCCGCGGCTCCTTGACATCCCCGCACACACACACATGCACACACGCACACACACGCACACACACACACAGGGGAGTGAAGGTATTCCAGGCCCTGCATTCGCTGTGCTAACACCGGTGGATCGGCGCACACGGCCAAATTAACTCATTATCACACGCCGCACTCCCGGTGACGAATGACATCCAGGGCACCGCTAAAATACTGCGCCCCCAAAAAGATGAGGGACGAGGACAGTAAAAACACAGGCTGTTCAAGAGGCGACGGAGACTTCTGGGATGGGACGGCAACGGGAAATAGTGGGGAGATAACGGTTCGTGTTAACGATCGTACGCTAGGATGAAAAAATACAGCTTTAAAAAGTCTCGGAAGTGCCACAGGTGAAGAGACAAGGGTTTGCGCGGTACTTACAAAAATATTGGTTCATTTTTGGTCTCTTGTTATAAACGTATGTAAGAATGTGTATTGTGAAATGTCTATTGTGTGGCACCACCTGCATGTGAAAGCCAGATACCGTCAGCCCTCAGAGGTAGCCCGCAATGACACAATAGAAACTAGAACATGGACTCGGAGAATGCATACACCGCCAACAATATTCATTACATTTAAGCTCAGTCCATCCAGAGGAATGAGAAATCAGCAGAGAAAGGTGTCCATGAGGCAGATAAGATAATGTAATGAAGCCAAAGCCATCTCCCTAAAAAGATTGGCTTCTAAATTAAAGGTATAGAACGATTTTGCCGGAAGTCTCGCCGTCTCTATGTCACAAAATGGCGCAGGACCACCCTAGTTTTATATCGGTCCTCTAAAGTCTGTCGCTTCTTTTCTGCTATTTCTTGGATTCCATTTTCGCGGTAAGAATTGGTGTTTAGCTCCTAACCAGCTTCATGGACTTGGTGATCAACTGTGCATGTGCAACTAGACCTACCACAGGAAAAGAGCATGTGTGGTTGGTGCTGTGTACGATTGACAATGATAGGTCTATACATCTCTTTAAATACATAAAAGCATAAAAGCAAATTGAAATGAACATTAACCCATTTCAGGACACAGCCTTTCACATCTATGTATGCCATATTGAGATTTGACTTGGAACTGGATCTTGGAGCATCCACAAAGCTCCATCCCAAATCCCTCAAAATCTGCCGACGCCATCACGCTCGATGCTCGATGTTGATTTATTTCCCCAAACCGACGGCACAATTAGCCAAGGCCTTCATACCACCTTCGCAAACATTCAACAACACTCTTGGCCTAGTCCTGACCCCAGCAGAACTCTTCCACTGCTCCGTAAAAAAGCTAAAAAAAAAAAAATGAGAAAGTGGTCCCTTCTCCTCATTTATCCACTCCTCTGAAAGCCATTCTGCTCGCTCTCCCTCCCCCCGCGCTGGAGGTCGACACAGGGATGTTCCGTTTTAAATAAGAAGGCAGCGCTGGCCCATTAAACTCCGATCGTAATGATATTAATTTGGCAGGAACGTGTCATTTTCACAGGAGAGCAACTAAGCCGGAGCGCCATTACGCACGCTAGCCCCACACGCGCAGACCACGTCACAGCAGAGCAGCTAGCGGTAACATTATGAGAGAGTCGTCGGGACCGGCTAATGGCATAGATTAGTGTGCCCTTGGTCACAATGGCTACAATGGAGTGAGGGAGCTTACATCAATGTCTTCCCCTCTTCCTCACCCCTTCCTCGGCTCCTGACCCGTTCCAGCGCTCGCTAACGGCCCCGGCGCTGCTGTAGACCGGGCCGACCGACCGGGGGGGAGCAAAAGGCGCTAGCAATCAAGGGATCATTTTAGTATTCAAGAAACGGACGCCATTTTTCTGTGTATGGATTGTTGTTAATGAGTGGCTAATTAGCGCAGAGGGACTGGCTAATCTATAGTGGAACAAAAGTCAGACTGAGAGAAAAGGATGCTTAGGGTGTTGGGAGTTAAGACACAGGGTTTCAATGGAAAACTAGCTACCCAGGTGCGAGAAGAGAAAGCTACTGTCCGTAAGTCGATCATTCTTATACTCACCTTTGTCTTCAGCTCTGGGTCATGATAATACCAAGCAGCTCTCTAACAAATAGGGTAAGGAGATCGGTGACACGGTAGCTGCACCAAGCTAAGCAGCTAAGTGGATTGGGCGTCTGTTTTGGATGCTGTCGGAACATTTCCCCTGGAGGTGATCCGCTGGGCACATCCCACGAGGAGGGGGCTTTGGGGTAGACCTGGCTCAAGATGAGAGGATTATGGGAATGTCTGTGGATCCTCAGTGAAGCTGGGGACATCAGAGTTTGTGTGCATCTTGCTTACAACTTCTGCCAGAATGTTTAGGTATAGATTGTTCTTTTGTAATGCGGTAATCATTTATGAAACTTGTGAAACCTTAACACTGGTTCCCTTTATGGGAGGGTTCATCAAGAGAGAGAGCACATTAAGTAGGTCACAAATGGGGCAAGTGAACTATTTTCATTTATTCAGATGATTTTGCAGTTGAAAATGTAAACTGATTTTGAGACCAGAATAAAAGTTGGTAAACTGTGGCTTGGAACATTGGCATTTCGCTTACAGATGACTCAAACATGCACAGATCCAATCCAAAAGAACGCTCTGATGGGACTTGAAAACCTGGATTTGAGGCAGAGTCCTCAGTCTGCCATCGAGAGTTGGTGTTTTTTTGCCCCTTGAGGCGACTGTTGTGATTTTGAGCTATATAAATAAAATGTTATTGAATTAAAACAACTTTGACTGGGTAAATGAAGTGGGATAGCACTTCATTTAAAGTTTATGAATCAATATTGTACCATGAGTCCAGTTTAAACGAAGACGTCAGAGAGTGAGGAAGCACTAAGCCCAGACGAAGAGCAGGGGGCAGGGCTGTATTTACCTCTGTGTTGGTATTCTGATCTATGAGAGTGTGTACACGCTCCTTCTGCACACCTGTACATGTGTGTTTGTGGGGCCCAGGCTGACCCCATCTCACACTCCTGACCGCTTCAATGCAGGCTGCATAAATTAGCACTGATGCTCCACGATGTAATTATGCTGCTGTCAGGACAGCCCCTCCGCTCAAATTCATTTTAATACAGTTGGTCTCCAAGGTTACCGCCCGGGGGTCACCTTCTGTGTCAGCGCCTATGGATCTCCCCATGAACAGTCTGAGGAGGCTCTGAACATACGCCACACCTTACCATGAACACAGGCTCCTCACTGAGCCCTCACTAACACTGCCAGCGCTGGCATCTGAAGCGTCCTGTGATTATGCAACATCCAACATGTGTTTTAAATTAGAATCATCTACGGCAATGCTGATAATCTAACCATTCTGAAGAGTAAACTGATTAAATGGGCTTAGATTGCACCATAATAGCACTTTACTGACAGGACAACCAGCTGGTAATAAATACTGAAACATAGGGCATTGCAATAAAAAACTATATGCATTTCCAATGCAGATTGTCAATCAATAATTCAATTCAATTCATTGTATTCTTGTACAGCCCTAAATCACAACAGTAGTTATCTCAGAGGACTCAGAGGAACAAAACCATTGGAATCGCCAACACAGATCAGAGAATCAAACAGTTCAAACACAAAGAATAGAAAACATTGGTCCATAAGGGGCAGATGATCAATTTCCATAAGAGTTGATACATTTCTATAGTTGTTGAATCTTAAGCGTCCTGGATCCTCACCAGAGTCATTTTTGTTAGACACAAAATAAATGAAAAATAGTTATATAAACCAAATATATTGACCGGTTTTCTCAAGATTCCCTTGATTGTTAAACAATTGTCCATGACAACCCAAATCTATTGTGGAAGCTGTTGAAGAAACTCCACACAGGCACAGGGAGAACATGCAAACTCCCGACAGCATTCTGGACAAACACTCCCTAAATCGGCAAACTGTCACCTTCTGCCCAAAGTGCTAAAGCTGTACAATGCCTGTACCGGAGACCTGCAGAGGAACCTCACTCCTGAAGCATGTTAGTAGGCCAGAGGACACACACGAGCCAAAACAAAGTGTGTAGAAGGACAAAAACAGGGCTAGGAGCAGCGACGGTGGAGATGAGAGTGTACAGGATAAGATTAAAGAAGGGGACAGAGGTTGTGGGGACAAGGAGAGGCCGGGCCAGAGTCTCCATGGGCAGATGGTGAGCTGTATTCTCATTTGTCCTGCTGCTAACACTCACCTCCAGGGCACCGTGCGGCACACAACACGCTACTCGCAATTAGCTAGTACCACCCAGAAGACGGGGAGGGGAGGCTCCACGGGCACCGCAGGAGAAAACATTACAAACAGATAAGTAATGTCTGGGCCCAATAGTGGGGAACATCCAACAGGACATATTCAAGCATGACTCAAGAGATTTGATATAAAACAGTATCGACCGTTGTTCAGAACCGGCTGGAAACTCGTCTGGATTCTACATGTGCATACAACTCTGTACTGAAAAATAATGTCATTACTACTCCATTACTGAAAATATGTAGATGTTCATTTAAGTCTGGATGGATTGATCCTTCTCATTCTGCTGGATAGGTAAATTATTTTTGTGTTGTGTTGTAGAGGCCTTTTTCAAACTGTGTATTGTGGTTTATTGTTGTATACTGTTTATTGTTGTGTCTTTCTGAATACATACGTTTGAAATTCATATTTACCATACGATACAACGTACGCCAAAATTGGGGGGTGTTGATCCAGAACATACCATATATAATGGACATGTATTTGTACATCCTGTTAGAGATTCTTTGAATTTAGATTCTTTAAATGAAATTAAGTCATTTGTGCAAGTGTTTTTTTGGGTTGAATCCTGTAATAACCTGTAACCATGTTCCGTTTCTCCTTGTGTCTGGGAGGGTTTCCTCTGGGCACTCCGGTCACCCCCCCCCCCACCACCCAAAACCATATAATCGTCCAAGTGAAGTCAACATCTTTCCTGTAGTGACCGGTGCTGGTGACAGGTAGCCCCTGTGGCATTGTAGGAGTCAAATGCAGAGGATAAATCTACCAATGAGGATAACAAGTGTACCTGAACCTTAACATGTCGGTTATATTCATCATGTTTATAGGAGTACAGGACTTCCAAAATATATGAAATAGATACAACGTGTCATTGCAGCACAAAAATGTTGACCGTCTTATCGACACTTAAACAAAATGTAGCTCTTTTACCAATCTAATTGTAGAACAAATTACAAGCTTGTTTATCACTTGAGCACCTGTTCATGGAGTATTCCAAACTCCAACAAAAGACCACAAATGTCATTGGGTTGAAATAAAGGTCAAATAAATACATGAGATTCTGAACATTCCAGAGCAAACATTGCAGCACAGACTGTCCCTGCGGTGGACCCTCTCACAGAGCAGCTTTGCCGTGTGGCCGGGGTGACTTTGACTGCCGGGGTAATAGTTACGGCCGCACGCTTTGTTAGCTGCAGGTAATTTATGGTTGAACTGGCCTGATAGTGCGATACGATCGAATGCTCCTAGTGTCTTCCTGGTGCCCAAAGACACACAGGAGGACTGGGCTGAGAGGGGCTGAGAGGGGCGGGGGAAGATGCATAGGCCACTTGAACCGCTGCTACGAGGCGTTAGCTTTTCGGCACCGCGATGGAGAAACATAATCAAGACCAAATGACAAAACATAGTCGGGAATGAGTAATACGGGAAAGAGTTGCAGAGCAGTTAAGTTCACAGCATCTCTCTCTCAGAATTCGATTGCATTAAGGAGTGACAGTCCATTCATCTGGGCCACACCAAGACGGAACATTTAGTTAATTGAATGATTAATAAATTCAGCTCAGTCACACTATTTCACTCTGCAGGCTTTGGATAAAAATGTCTGCCAAACGAAATACATCATATATCACGGCTTTGAAATTCCCCGCCTCACATCGAGCACAAGTGGCAACGTCTGTGTGGGAGGATGTAGACACGTGTAAAGCAAATCCGCTGTTTGCTGTACTTTGGCTGAATCAGAATCAGAATCATTTTTATTGCCATGTAAGTTACAGGAAGTCACAGACTTGGAAATTGCTTTGGCTCAGTGCAACAGTCAGAAAGAGATAATAAAAATAAAGAATAAAAATAAAGAAAAAAAAACACGTCTAAGGAATACATTTAAATTTAAAATAGAGTTACAGTTACTATTTACAATATACAAGTGCACATGGTGCACACAATGTAAGGTGACAGCAGTACAGTGAAGTAAAGTGACGTATGATGGGCAGTAAAGGTTAAGAAGTGTTCAAGAGTCCAACAGCAGAGGGGAAGAAACTGTTCTTGTGGCGGGAGGTTCTAGTCCTGATGGACCGCAGCCTCCTGCCTGAGGGGAGTGGTTGGAATAGTCCATGTGCAGGGTGAGAGGGGTCGGCTGTGATACGACCAGCCCGGCCTCGAGCTCGGGCGACGTACAGTTCCTGCAGCGATGGAAGGCTGCGGCAGATCACTTCCTCTGCAGAGCGCACAATGCGCTGTAGTCTCTGTTTGTCCCTGACTGTGGCTCCAGCGAACCACACGGTGACGGAGGAGGTGAGGATGGACTTGATGATGGCCGTGTAGAACTGCACCAACATCTGTGCAGGCAGCTTGGCTTTCCTGAGCTGCCGCAGGAAGTACATCCTCTGCTGGGCCTTCTTGATGAGGGAGCTGATGGTCGGCTCCCACTTGAGGTCCTGGTGATGGTGGTGCCCAGGAAACGGAAGGACTCCACAGAGGTGATGGGGGAGTCCATCACGGAGGGTGGGGGCGGGGGGACAGTGCTCTTCCTGAAGTCCACAATCATCTCCATTGTCTTCTGGGCGTTCAGCTCCAGGTTGTTACCACTGCGCCAGGACACCAGCCGGTCCACCTCCCTCCTGTAGGCAGACTCATCGTTGTTGGAGATGAGTCCAATGAGGGTGGTGTCGTCCGCGAACTTGATCAGCTTCACGGAGTCGTGGCTGGAGGTGCAGTGGTTGGTGTACAGGGAGAAGAGCAGGGGAGAAAGAACACAGTCCTGTGGGGCTCCTGTATTTATAATCCGAGAGTCCGAGACATTCTTCCCCAGACGCACTCGCTGCTTCCTGTCCGTCAGGAAGTCACTGCGAGTGTAGAGCTGCAAACGCACTTATTTTGCGTTGGCTGCTTCCACTACATATCAAATACACTTGGACTAGATAGAAAGATAGATACATACATTATTAATCGCCGTGGGAGAAATTCAGGTGTCCAGTAGCAGCAAAAACACATCCATCCACACAAACAAAACAAATACATGGATCAGTCACGGGTCACAGCAGTAGAGGTGGTGCAGCTGCAGGGTGGAGCAGGACTGGTCACAGCAGCACAGGTGGAGTGGCCGCTTGGTTCGGACCATTTTCTCTGCTCTAGTCCAAACTAAAATGGTGAATGCTTCATTAGCATTTTTCAAAAAGTTAGCATTCCTCCAGTGGATTTTTACCTGATCCTCTTGTTTCGGACCATGAATCCTCTACCGCAGGGTTCTCCAACCTGTAGCTTGGGAGCCACCATGAGCTCTCCACACCCTCCCAGGTAGCTCGCCAAAGGATTTAGAAATGAGAAAATTCAATAATATACTTCAGATTGGATTATTCATTCATCATTATTTATTATTGTAAATGCACTTACTTTGTGCACTAGTAACAAATATGTGAGGATAAAAAATGACTGTACCCAATATGAGGCTTGTTCACACAATATATCACCATATTTTTTCCCAGGGGCGCTTAAAGAAGTAGCTCTCTGCCTTTATCGTCCCGGGAAAGTAGCTCTCTGGGTGAAAAAGGTTGGAGACACCTGCTCTACCGGGTGGTTTCAGAATGATGACAAATAAGAAAAGTGGTAAATGTAAAGCGCTTTGTGAAAGGCACTATATAAATAAAGAGTACTATAGAGTTTAAATGTGGTCTCCAAGATGTCTGCCCTTTCACATTTATGGCCTGTGCTCATAGGGACACACTCGCACCATGGACGCCTCAAACAGCAGGGGAAGTGACTCATTTTGGCTCGCTCTGGGTCTCGGCCTTGTGCAGTGGTTCTACTTCTGCAGGACCAGAGGAACATGTGAGATCTCTGACCCATCTCCACGCTGTTGATCGGAGCGGAGCTTGAGCGGGACGAGAGCGAGCCAAGTTGGCTGCACATAAGAGTGGATTTATTAGTTCTGGATGACGAGGGGCACTAAAATCCTCACAAAATAAGATGTGGTCCAAAGCCAGAGTTTGTAATAACCCTTTTCCGCCTTGTTTGTTCTTCTGCTTTCATCATTTATATAACAGAGATGGAAGACAAAATATGAATACACTGAAAATTATGCTTAAAGCTCTTTCTTTAAAAGACTTCAAATGACCAGGGGAGAAAAGCCAGTGACGTTTTTTCTGAACATTTGGGTGCTTAGGGTGACCTTGGTCTGTAAAATGCGCTATATAAATAAACATTACTAACCTACTTACTTATATATAGCTCCTTTCACAGACCAGGGTCACAAAGCGCTACCCACGTAAATATACAATAAAACAGTGAAACATACAAGTCATATACAGACATCAGAGAAGTACAAACAGATTTTTTTTTTTTTTACATGTTTTACTTTTTAGCCATATATTAATAAAGGCTTTTGGACTTTTGCTCTACCCATTGAGTGCCTCAGTTTTCTCCTTTTTTATCTCCTTTTTTATCCCCAATCTGAAGAGCACCTGGGAGAAGCATTTTCACTACAAAATAGACTCGTGAACTATCCAGTAACCTTGCTTTTTGACTTTTAAAACATTTGTCATCATAGAAGCAGGGACCCCAGTGCTTAGGTCTATGTCCTAATAATAAAAAGTCTACGAAGAAGGTTTCAATCCTTAGAGAGCAGAGATTAGAAAGGCCTGTTGGTGAAAAGTATCTATCCATCCACCTATAACATACTTTCTACCTGTTCCATCCTTGACATGGCAGAGACCTATGATCGCTGGGGTTTCGTCATCCACCCGCTGAAGATAAGTCGCTGGCTCATCATCTGAACACCATAAATTCTTCAAACTACAACATCATCCCTGGTCCACCGTTGTCTTTCGTAACACACTGACAAGCATCATCTGTCCGCCATCCCATCCCATCCCATCTCCGTCTCTCATCCCAGAAGGCATGACCATATCGGAGCTTTTCTCTTCCTCTCTGTCTGCAATTTGGCCTGACAGGTCCTGACTCGCGCTAACCTTTTATCCGGCACCTTCAAACGGAATGAGCGGGCTTTCATAACGGCGCTTGAGTGGCAGGAGCGGAGACAGCGCTGTGATGTGGACAGCCATTTTGTCCTGTTTAAATATACGCTAATGGAGCATAAGAAGCTCATCAGAGAGACAGGTTAGAATGGAAGAAGACTCAAATAAAAAACTCAAATGATCGGATGTGGGGGTGAGAGTTACGTCAGACAGGAAGAGCCAGGAGATGCAGTTTGACCTTTAGAAAGTGGAGAAAGAGCGCAAAAACTTGGGTTGACTCTTTAGATGTGTTGTATACTGTATATTTTGTAAGTAATTTAGAAGCTACGAACATTGAGACATGAGTAAAATAAAGAAGAGTTCACCCTGCGCATCTGAAAACCAAATTTGAAAAGTGGTTCAATGTGTGAACATAGGAGACACTTTTGTAAGTTCTTTCGTAGTAAAATGGCTGTTTCTAGTTCCTTCGGCACTTTACAGTTTCTTGTATTCATTCATTGCTCGAGACATTTGTTTTGGAGCATGGGGTCAGTAGGACGACATATGCATGCAAAAGAAAACAGAAACTTAATACATTACAGTTTGACACATTTGTACAATCACGTAATGTTATTTAACAGTTTGATGGACTGAGGCACAAAAGTCCTCCAGACTGCATCATTGAGAGTTGCATCTCCAAAAAAAAGTCTGTAGGGTGATGAGAATGGACAGTGAAACACCAATGATTTTACCAACTTTTAAAATATATATATATATACACTGTATATATACTTTACAGTCAGATTACGAAAACCATCTAACTAGTCCATACCTCAGCACAGACTCAATGCTCGCCCATTTAAAAGTCAACATAACATTTTGGCTCGCCACAAAAACACTAACGTTTCAAAGAAAGTATAAGCGCTGCTGAAATTGTGCACAAATGATGTGACAAAAGATAAGACAATAATTAAAAAATAATGTATAAACCATGTTAACTAAGTGTTACTGCTTCATAGCTCTCCAAACCACCTGCTGTGGTATTTAGAGTTCCCATAGGTCTCCCATCCCAATACTAACCAGGCCCTGCCCCGCTTAGCTTCAGAAGTCTGACGGGATCAAATCAAGTTAAAGATAAATTCACTTTTCAACTCAGCGCTTACTGAGTGTGATAGTCCGTAATCAACTTCACTTTAACTTCATTCACCAAACCACTACAATGGTTGACTAAACAAATTCTTCTTACCCCGGATTTGTGTATTCATCGCAAACACACACACACACACACTCTCTCGCAGAAACCCCTTTTTCAGATTTAGCATTGTAGCAGCGATTCCACCCCGGCGCTCCCCTTAGCGCAAAGGTGCTGATTGATATATCAGAGATGAACCGATTTCGCCTCAAGCCACAACACTCCAATTTCCACGTTACATTAGCACGCCAAACACGGGCAAACACACTCACACTTAGAGCTTATCCACGCAGCGGGCCGTCTTTGGGATAGATGGCACCTGCATACGGGAGAGGGGGGCACACAAATGGGATTGGAAGGAGGAGAGGGAGCAGGTGGACCGTATACGAGACGGGCGCAGGACGGGCCCGGGGTCCAGAAATAGGATTGTGTAGGAGGCAGGGCGAGCTAAATAGGATTGTAATGTACAGCAAAGGGTGTATAAATAGGATGTAGGAAGTCACAGCAGTGCGCTCACAAGTCCCAGGTGCCACCAGTGAAGGAGGACTCTGGGCTTCGGGCACAAGGAGGGGATTTGTCACAATGCAGGGGCTCAAATCTGAACAAACATGTTATGGGTACGTGCGTCACTTATGGTAAAGGTGTTATTATATTAGATCAATGCTAAAGCTGGGGCGCCCAACTTTCAAACCACAGAAAAATTAACCATGTCATAAAAACCATCAAATGAGTTCCTTGGTGAGCAGTTTGGTCACAAGTTCATGCATTAATGTAAAAAGAGTTATCTGAACAATTGTCTGTCACTGAGCCAACGAAATTGTCATGTGTTTGGTAGGAACAAGACAAAATGTGGCACCAACATTTCGGAATTACAGTGACATCACAATCAGTGACATCGCTCATGTTACCGCAGAGAACTGAAGAAAGAAGAGAAAGTGCATTTCTGGAGAAGCACTCGGTGACAAGATTTAAAACAACGCTTTACTAAACCTACATCTATTTATTCTAAAGGAGTTCCATTTTTAAAACTTACAAATGGAGGGTGAAATTGACAAAGTGCTTCAGGGAGAACATTTTCCTTCGAGGACACAGAGAAAGAACATGTTGAAGGACAATCCTGGTGGAACAGTAAGTATGAGGCGTTTATGCAGATGTGGGAGCAGGAACGAAAGGCTCTGATCCACAGAAGACTTCAGGAAGAACAAGTTCTCAGATGCAGCGTGCGTTTCCCAGTTTTTTGTCATTTGCAGTTTAGATAATTATTAATATCTACGTTCTTATCGAAGCACAGTGTAACTTTCACTGAACCTTAAACCAACATATCCTTAGTGAAAATGAAAAATTACAACTTCGGTGAAGGAAAAAAATATTTCCCTTGCGCAAAAATCCGACAGAATAAAAAAACCTCAATCTAATACAATATTTTGTTTGAACACACTATTGTTAACCAGCTTAGATACAGAACGTTATAATCATTAACTTTGATTTATTGTTTATTATTAATTATAAATGATTAACAAACGGACCAGCGGGTGTTGAGTTAGCCACAGGGAGACATCTCAGACCATCCCAGTGTTCTGTCAAGACCATCTCGACAGAACACTGGCACTGGAGCTCCAGGGTCTGATGTAGTCCCTGCTTCAACCAAAACATTTGGTTGGTTATTTGGGGTAAAAATGTAGTGTAACGCACGATACTGACCTTTGTACTGAGTAGAATATTACCCAGAGGACTACTGCATTACAGTAATTACATCACTCTTTAAGACGTTACTACCAACACTGGTCGGACTGTCACATTGACCTCTTTTGTTACTAATGGGGATATAAACAATATACGATTTATTGTTGTATCATAAATAAAACAAATTATAATTATGATAAATATGTTCAACAATCCCTATGTCTGATTTGATTTTTTGCTTTGGCTTGAAACGGCAAATAGCGACTTTTGCATCGTTGCATCATATTAAAACAGAGATACAGGGAACAAGACGTCAGATTCTTTATAAAAATCTATCAGATTTAGACATGCATCTTTAAGCTCGTCTTCCTTTCAACGGTCCAAGGACACTAAGCACCTTTACCTGCCCACTGTGACGTACATATTTCAGTAGTGTATAGCGGAATACAGCTATAGTAGATACAGATTTAATGTTTAAGTCCAGGTTAGGAAAACTCTCGGTAATGAACTCAGGTCAGTGTAATGTCCCCAAGAAGGTGAATGGGTGAGTGTGTGGATTGGACGCAAAAGCCATTAATGTAGAGGCTAATCTTGAAGCAGCTGTCTCCTCAGGCAGAGTGTGACCTCCATGGAGCAGGTTCAGTGCAGGTCTTTGTCCTACCATCCACTTCCAGCTACAGAGACCAAGTATAAACCCAATCACAGAGTCGTTTGTCTTCTCCGGACTCGACCTCTTTAAACATTCAAAATAACCGTCTCTACTGTGCAGATTGGAGAGATGTGTTCACAGGGCGACGACTGAAAACGCAATGGTATTAAGAAGTCACTCTGTATATAACGTATAATTTCTTATCTGAAGTGAATGTAAACAGGAGAAATCTTATGTAATGCATTTTGAGAGGATTGGAGGAAACTGAAAAAAACTGAAAAGTTCTGCGTTCGAATCCTGGTTTTTAGTTTTCGTGTGTATGTTCTCTCCGTATTGGTGTAGGTTTCCTCTGGGTGCTCCGGTTTCCCATATCACTGAAAACATGTACAATAGGCCTGGCGTGCACCTCTTATAAAGTATGGCGACCTCGCTCCCATCTCTGAGTGGAGTGAGAGACAAAAAATGGCCACAATTGTAAAGCGCTTTGTAACTCTTGTAACTCTTATATAAAAAAAATGAATTACTTACTTAAAGAGCCCTGGTTGAAAACATTCTAAAAGGTTAAATCGGTCTGACTTCCTTTACCATCTTTTAAAGTCCTAAAATCTGACTATGCATAAAATGTCCTCTGTAATGAAACTATATGAGACGTGAGATTTCTTATTCTTGTGGCACTGAATTTTTTCTTTCTCCTTTAATGTTGGGTTCGTATTGTACAGTCAGGGTGATGTCAACATACTCTTTGAATGCTTTACGACAGCTCAAGCTCCTAATTTAAACACATACATTGTTTTGAATGTCTCTCGGTTGTCCAGCATGTCCATCCTCCCTCTTGCTCACTTTTTGCCCTCCTGTCTGCTCCTCTCTCTTTTCCAACCCGGCCCTGGGCTCTTGGAACAGGTAAGCTGCCACTCGTGCTGGGCAAACACGGGTTCCCCTCTGAGGGAAGGTCGCGGCTCCGTCTCTGCCGCTCTTTGGCTCTTTGGCTGCTTGGACTGTGGGGTCAGCGAGCTTAGGGAGCTGTCAAAGCGCTGGAGGTGTCGGCCGAATGACGGACCCGGGTCGGAGGTCCAGGGTCTGGGAGTTAAAGGGCGGGACGTGACCCCACAGACAAAGAGCGGGAGTGGGGAGAGTCTGTCATTCTCCACACAGGGGGTAATGTAATGTTGGCACATATTTGGAGCAGGGCGTTCATGCTTTGAACTGCTCTGCATGTAAATAGGACGTCATGATACATCTTCATTAGAGGGAATTGTGTTTATTTGGCTTCAGTCACTCAGGGAATTCTAGTGGATTATGTCATGTGGAATTGGTAGTGGCTCAGTGGTTAGTGCTTACCAACCAATGCTAACAATTGGCTCCAAGCTTGATACTGGCTGCCACTATGTCCTTGAGGTTAACACTAGAGCTCTACAACTCTAAACTCGATATTAATAACTCTTATCTGAAATTATTTCTGATTACATCTATATGCATTTGTTGACAGTAGTAGTAGTAGTAGTAGTGTGCCTCCACCTGCAGATGGGACCTTTCAGTGAGGAGTTTGCATGTTCTCCCTGTTTCCCCGACCACAAAAAACATTTACAATATTTCGGGGTGAATGAGTGTGTGTTTGTGAGCGCAACTGTGGGTCAAAGTGACGCACATCAGCCCAAGGCAACAATCTGGAGAGGGGTGTTCACTAAAAGGAAATGTCCCAATCAATAAAACAAGTATAACAAGTAAAATAAGTATGGGGCTAGACTCCTAGGGCCCAATGATAGACTATAGGCCAGGACTAGGGGTAACACTTTCTCCTAAAAATCCACAGCTCTGAATAGGTCTATACAGTGGAAGAATGTTTAGCACTCACAAAAAACTTTCCAAAGTGTTGATACGATTCATTTCACGATACAGAATGGACCAATTTGCCTTTATCCTGTGAGCATTAGTTATTTTACATGTCTTTGTTTCTATTGGCATTATAGACTCACTTTTGAGGTGACTTTAGTTGCGACTGTAGGCAGTGAACTTCCAATCGCCACTCTCTAAATAAAACATGACATTACATTATTTGACTGCTCATCGTTCCTTGTCACGGCGATCTTTGCCGGCGCGCGCAGAGCCAAGGTAACTCCGTGCAAACATCTCCATCACTGGCGGCACTTCGTCACACGCTGTAAACAACACATCCGTATCATCGCCTTCTCGCCAAGGTAAACGCGTGTTCTTATTACAGGCTCCCCCGACATCCGCCAACACGCAACGGGTGACAGCGCGGGAACAGACCGAGGAGGAATTAAGATGGAGATGAAATCCAAGTCGCCCGCTTGTTCAAACCGTATCATATCAGCGCCGGTCGTGATGGATTTATGTACAAAGACGCACTCCAACCGCGGAATAAATGTTTGGACAATAGCAGCTCTTTAAATAATTGATCTATGAATCACACACAAGAGATCCACTAAAGTATGGAGACAAATAAACTGGTCATATATCAGAGTCCCATTTAAGAATATTTAAGCAGATAGGACGGTAACTATGCAACCAGGACATTCATATTTTGCTCAAAGCTGTTCTGCATACCGATGGGGCACAGAGTGAGCCACAATTAAGAGTATTTCCAGAGTCAGAGGAGGTAATAAAATGTCTCCCGAATTATTCAGAAGTAATTGCAGGTGAAAGAGGTGTCGTGGAAATGTGAGGAGTGTGGTAAGTTATGGCCCGGACTGTTGTAGTAAGGCAGTCGACAGAGGTGACAAGTAATTAGATACTTGTACAAATGTGCGATGGTTTTAAAGTGTGTGTGACAGACCAGACTACGAATGGCACAAAACGGAGTTAGCATAATCATGTTATAAATGTTGCTTCAAATCTTTCCTGGTTTTCTCTTGCTCAACCAATTTGGTGAAGTTGTATATTGTATATTCAGCTTGGTGTTAGATTGCAGCCATACTATAAGCAGTAGTCAATTTCACACAAATATAATTTTACAACATTTTTTTTATCTGGAGCTAGGTGGTCTTCAACCAGTCCCCTAGGCAATAGATAGGAGCCTAGAGAATACGGACCCTCTGCAGGTGGTGCGGCGAGAGGAGGTTAGGTCCATATCTTCCCTTTGGGCTGAGCCAGTTTGGGCTCCAGAGTGGGTTGCGCCATACTGGAAAGATTACCACCCTCAATGATTCACTATCCATGGGAATACTCCGACTGGGTTCTTTCTGGGTCATAGACCTGTTGGCCACGCGAGACCCAAGAGAGGCTGAAGTCCCAGGCAACACAGCTCCACCACCAATGTAACATGGCAGTCCTCAGGGGAAGATATTTTACCAAACTTTTCATGACATGCAATCTGTTGTATAACTATCATGAAAAATATATATTGAATATTGAAGGTGTTCCCTGTACTTTGATAGACCTGCACAATTATCACCTGGAAGATACAAGGACTGTTAGGATCAGAACCTTTCAGTTGAAAACTTCAATAAACAACTAATACGAGCATTCATTTTTGACAGTGCATGAAAAACTAATTTTGCACACAAACAATTCCCGATTTGAAACATTACTTTAAATCACTTTTAAAAAGGTGAAAGAAAGAATCCTCCAATCCCCAAACTTTGCTCTGCCTGGCAGGACAAACGTACGTCACACGCACACGCTCTCCTGAAAGTGTACAGTACGCTCTGCTGAATAAGCACATAACCCAGTGTGACACATCAAACCCAGGCGCTAATGGGCTGTGAAGTCATTAGCCAACAGTGTCTGACGCCCACCAGCCCTCAGACTGGAGAGCACAGAGAGTTTAGACCAGACAAGTCCTCCACCGACTGGCCTCCTGCAGCTATTAGAGATATTACTTACATGTACTTATGTACGGGGACTTTTTACATGCCACGTGTCCCTCCAACAGTAAACTGCTATTTTACATGCAGCAAAGTAACAGGCTACTGTTCTGATAATTCACTCGTCACTTTACCTGCTGATATTAGTACTTTGGTTTATTCTGGTCATATTCTCTGCTGCTAAAGTACAACATTAACTACAGGCCACTAGAGTACTATCGTCGAACCATGTGCAAATATACAGTAGCTCCAGAGTTTCATTTTATCTTATTCTAGTGTCTAATCAATAATCATTTAATTATATTATCTATTATCTTAAATAATAGATCTTGTCTGATGTGTGCAATCTGAGTGCTCTTATTTCCTCATTTTATTCTGCTGTAATGTGGGCAACGATGACATTGAAATTTCCCCACTGTGGGAGGAATAAAGGAATATCTTATCTTAAAACACATGTTATACATATTTAGTTACCTTTCTCCTTCTAAACCAACATACCATGCAAATTAGTGTTCTTAACTTTTAATCAAGACTCACAAAGATTCATGTAATTCTCTTACAAGCAAGACACCATTGATTGACCACTGCTACACACCCACTACTGCTTTTACTTTTGTACTGAATCTGATGACCATGATCAGCTTTAACAAACAAAAAAACAATCCACCCATTGCTAACTTCATCTGTGGTTTAATCAGAGAAAAAAAAGATCACACAAAAAATAAACCCATGCACCACAACTTTAAAGGGCCCATATCACGGTTTTTGACTTTTCTCTGCTTTAAACATGATTACAGTGCTATTTGGCCTTCATACACATGCCCAGAGTAGTTTATTCATTGATTCTGTCAATCTTTAGTAAGAGAGAAATCTGTCTCCTTCCCCAGCGTGAGGCACAGAAACGCTCGGGTCCACTTCAGTGACGAAAACCACACTGATGACGCGCATGACGCGCATAAGCTCGGTTGCTTTGTATTTAAAATAGTTTTTAAATACTTTCGTCAAAACGGGGTAAACAATACACAATTAGTATGCTGTTTGTTTTCAAAAATAATAAAAAAATAAATAAATTAAAAGTTGGCGGGAGGTGATTGACGGATCAAAACAGCGAATCAGAGCGCACAGGCTCCGGCTCCCGAGTCCAGCGTCTGTGGTCTGGTCTCCGGACACCACATAGAGCTGCTGTTTTTATGCTTTTGTCAGCAACTAAAAGTGTTAGGATCACGTCAACTTGAATGAAATGTGTTTTGGGTGTAAATATGTGACGCACTATTTGGCCCTAAGAGGAAGAAAGCGGCTCAACTTTTTTCATCTGTTCATCTCATGGATCTATTATAATACCGGTTCATCTGCGACACTTCACTGAGACTGTTCCAGAACTACAGGGACAATGGAACTGGACTTACTCAAAAGCTGATCTGGAAACACGTTATTCCCACGGTAAAAGACGTAACTCGGACCCCCTCGATCTGTAAGTAGTGACGCTAACTCGCTGTATACTTCTGTAAACTAAATAACTATGGTCTGATTGTGCATTGAGGACATAGGGCTCGATGTGACGGATTGTCATTGGAAAAAGTTTATTCTTATGTATGAAATGACTATGTACCAGTGATAAACGACAAGAGCGTGATGCTACGTCACCGTGCGGGCGGGGGGAGGCGGGCTCACAGGCAGAGGAGCAGACTCTCTTCTGGATCAGCTCGTTTGAGTTGTGGTGACGTCACCTCTATACAAGAGATGGCTCTAATCTCACAAGCTTTGATTGTTGTGTGGTGTATCATACACATTATTATAACACATGTGCATAGGTTTGAATGTGAAACATGAAGAAAAACGTGATATAGGACCTTTAACTATATTTCCTTCTCGTCAGCGCACCAATCCTTTACCCTCCGTCCATATTTCTCCACGGTACATGTTCAGCCTCTCTCACATCCCCTCACTTCCTACAGCATGTAACCTCTTCTCCTATCTCCAAACACAAGTCTCCTCTCTCGTAGCTCCCCCCTTCTTTTTTTTCCTCAGCCACTCCTCTTCCTCCTCCCCTCTGGATTAAAAGTACTTTTCATTACGCCAGAGCGCAGATATGGCACTTAAAAATCCCCCCATTATCATTTTTCACCCTGCAAACAGCCACCCCACATCCGCGTAATTACCAAACCCTGTCACAGGCGCTAGATGGAGCCGCCAGATTCTTCCAGGCCAAAACTGTTGCCTGCTTCTCTTATTGATATTAAAAGTGTTGCATAAAATGGCATTTAAAAGGACTGTCAGGGGGCGGGGAGGGTGGAGGGTGGAGAGAGGGGTCTAGTTCATTGGATCCGGTCTTGGCACTTGGTAATAGCGTG